CTAGTCTGATATCTTGTCTTGTTTTTTTTTTTTTTTTTTTTTTTTTTTAAAAAAGCAAATACGAAATTTCTATTCGACTATAGCATGACAAACTTTTTTACTCGTCGTCTACTTATATAAAAAAATCGCAGCAGGATACTGACTATTAATATATATATTAGAGATTTCTAGAATTCTTTCCTTTGGGTGTTTGACAAAAGGTTTTAACAAAAGGAGTGTACCTCCCTACTTTGATGGTAAGTATAATAACGTCTGGGCGGAAAACTTGGATATGGTAAGACAAATGCTTTTGATCCCTAAATAATATAAGCCACCCAATCTAACTTTTAGTGTACTATGATGATGAAAATTAATCCAAAATATTTAAATGAAGTCTGGTAGGATTAGATCGCATTAGTCCATTTCTCATGGTAACAAAGTATAATTTTTAATATTTTATGATGATGACAGTTGAAGATCGATGTAGGGTATTTTAATAGTTGGCCTTGCCAGGCAGTAAGGTTTGATCTTCGATTTTTGTGAAAATGTATCCGGCAGGCAGATTTTTCAATTTCAATTGTTCTATGGCTTCATAATCTTACTTAAATGCAACTAATAGCTTTGGCGTAAGTCTTGTATGTAAGAAGAGTACTGCAGCTGTTTAGCAAACATCACTGCAACAAATTGACTTGCGATTATGATAATACTGCTCTCTTTCATAGGTATTCTAGAGCAGCATTACATTTTGAGTCATATTTGCGCTATTGATCTATGCGTCTGTTAACAGGTCAGACCATAACTAATAAAAGAAACCTCTTTGCGAAAAGGAATGACTTTGGCGAATATCGCTTTCTGAGTTGTTTAACTTAAGGAATTAAAATTCGTGCAACGAATCGTAGACCTTGCAGAATGTATACATTCCCTTTAATTTATTTTATCTTCACTGAATCCGAGTAACGCTTCTAGCTTGCCTCTACTAATGTCGAATATGTATTGCAAGTTTCCCTATGGTATTTTAACGTTATTTTTATACCCATGTGGTATAATGCGGTTGAGCTAAATTTCTAAATTTTTCTCCAAGTAATTGGGTACAAGAATTTGGGAAGAATTCTACTGAACCCAACAAGCATAAATAACATATTACTCCATAAAGCTTACGATGAAATATAGATATCGCCATTGTTGACAAATGATTAGTATACATGTTACAGTTGTTTCAATGACGGTACTGTTGCATCATTTTCACGACGTTGCATCATTTTCATAGCGAGACACACTAGAGTAACTGTAATTAAACTGTAAACTAATGGTTGTATTGTCAAGGAATTTAATACATTTCGTTTGGAAGCTGATCTTATCTAGAAATCATATTGATTTTGTCAATAGTCGTCATACGGCTACGTGTCATCCTTCGAACTTATTGAGTATTGTGTTAATCGTATGAAAATATGGTTCTAAATATCGTATATTCCGTAACGTATGCCATGATAATTAATATTTCTTTCACCCTAATCAAGTATCATTGCTGTGAAGAGTTTTTCAGCAAGAGATCTCAAAATGCAATCATTGTCATTGCAATGACCTTTGGATAAATAAAACTTAAAAGATTTTCAGAGCTTTCCTCTTTCGCTGTGCGCTTCCGAATATTTTGGATAAAATTTCTCTGCATGATGAAACTAATTAATCTGATTAGAGTTAAGAAAATTCCATTGGCAAAAAAACCATCAATCGCAACGTCACAGTCCTTCGAAAGTGCTGATTTGAAGAAGACGAAGAAGCACTATTGGGCAATGCTTAATATGTTGTGTCGTGAAATTGATGCTTCAAGAGAATCTCGCCATCTGCCAATTGTTCTATTGCGTGATATTAAATTAAAAATAACGGAATGGAAAGATCGTAGACATGGTTAAGTCGGGATTTTTAAATGGAAACCATGTCCCATTTTAATCGATCTTGAATAATAATTATTTAATGAGACTTTTTATGCATTTCATATATAAAATGAAAAATGAATATAAACTTATAATCTAGATTTTATAAATGTAATATAAATAATAAATATAAATTTACAATATATTATATACTTCATAGGCATATAACGGACATATCTATATGTTTTTAGTCAAAATTTCATTGATAAAGTTAATTAAGTCAAGAGTCAACAAAGAAAGGTAATTACGTTAGCAATCTATGAGTATATCGCAAATTGTTTCCATATACATGTATATGTATATTGGGGACACATATAAGCAAAATGAAAAGTTATGATTTTAATAAATATTATCAAATTAAATATGATTGAGAAAAAATTGTATAATGTTGATATTACCGATATCAT